GTTATGCGTATGGATACATAATTTTCTTGTAGAACACGAAGGCAGTACCGATTCTATGCCTATAGTAGTATGCTCTCAGCACGATAGGTCATTTACGACTGTAAAAACGAACCCCGGCCCTAGATTAAATGTGGGTGATCTCGAAGTCCGAGCGGAAACACCCAAGTGTCAATTTCGTGTGAATGCAGATGGGAAGCCGCCCGAATTCCGTCGAAAGGATTTACGTGGGCCCAAGTGAATGAACATCATAGCGAAGGATTTCTGCACTGTGGCTTTCAAGCGGTTCTACACGGAGTACAATTCATCACTGTCGACCTATATTGCTTGTTCTTCGTCAATCAGATCGACAAATGGATGATACCACACAACTACAAGAAGGCCACCGTGCCAGACCCCGAGTAACTGTATTGTAGGGCAGTGCTGGGACACAAACAATACTGAGACCTAGGTTCAGTATTGTTTGTGTCCCAGCGCCGTTTCGCCTCATTCGCCCATCATAAAGCCGTTCGATTCCAACTGTTCTGGTCAGTCGAGGTACTCTCCGACGGCAAACGCTACAATGTTTTGTCATTCGCCGAAATTGGCATCAACAGCAATTTACTCGCACTTGTTGAAAAATCGAAGGTACCAGAGGTCCAAAGGCTTTCGGGGCACTGGGAGCGGGTCATTGGTGAAGGAGGGATCTACTTAACTCAAAGCCAAAATATTACTTTTCTTATCTGGTTTCCTCTTCGTTTTATATGAATAAAATCTTCCGCACTTTTAAATGGGGATGGCTAATAACTATGGTCGCCAATCGCTTCCATCGGTATAAGAGTTGACGAGTGCGCTATCTGAGGAAAACCTACCTGCGTGGTGAACCTTGGTCCTACACGGCTTGCCCGAGCGCGGTTCACTCTTGCGCACTCGTAGCAAGGTGTTCTTACCTACAGCCAACAAAAGCAATCAGTCAAGGCTAACCAGCGGGTCCCGCTTTGATACTGGAAATATCACTGCCATCCATGTTGCTGACATCTTTTCCAAAAAGCGCTCGCATCCTATCTGGCACTATCTTATCGAGTTCTTTTATCGTACAAAGCTT